AGAAAGATTGATACAGATAGATATAAAAAGAAAGAGAGAAAGATAGAAGACAGACAGCATGAAGCTGAGAAGGAGACAGTGGGGAAGCTGGAGGGAGCTGGCAAGGTGGTCATACAGAAGACACACGGTGTGCATGTGTGACACTTTCAAAGACTAGAGGAAACATGCAGGCCGTGAAAAGCCCTCAGGAGAAGAGCAGTGCCGCTGCCTTGGACTGGGTTAACCCTTACCTGGCTGGGCTGTCACTCTTATAGAACTGGTCAGTTACTGTGACAAAAGTGCATGGTGCTCTGTGCCCCTGGCACATCCACTCTGCCACCAAGTTAGGACGCAGCGCGAGACCTTCCTCAGAACCTGCCTACTAGAGCATGAAGAATGGAGCCAGTCACGGGGGCGGGAGAGACTGAGAAGACTCCCAGTGCAGTGTCCCAGTGAACAGTGGCCACTGTCTAAACACAAGTGTGATCTACGGCCTCCAGTGGGTAGGCCATCTCAGTTGAAGGGTTCCATGTGTCAGGCAACTGTAGGCATTCTCAGAATGGAGTGTCACTCACTGTCAGAATGACAGACTGAAGAGAGGGAAGAAAGATCCCGTGTGAGCGGACAGAGGAGGAGACAAGTCCGTGGAGCCACCGCTGGCGACTAGGAACTTCCTTTTCCTTTATTTTTCCAAATAAAAACAAACTTACTAGAATATATTAATTGCGTAGAACAATGGATTTTGCTGTGACACTTTTATACATGCATATAATGAGCTTTCATCACGATGCAATTTTCTTTATGTATGATACGTGTGGTCCCATATGGAATGTCATACCTGTCTTCTCTTTGCGTTTAGTCTAAGTGCTGAGTCTACCACGTGCCTCATTAATTTTGCTCTTTAAGGTGGAAATTCGCAGGCTGGGAGTCCCAACATGTTTGAGTTCAGTTTCCTCCCAGACCTCGCTGCCATCAAAATCAAGAGTTGCCCAGAGGTCAGTTACCATCTCTAGAGGGAAGAAATGGCTTAACCTGGGACACAGCCCAGGGACAGAGCTCTGCACGTGTATAAGTTTCATTTCCACAACCACCAACTCCCAAACCAGCAGAGAGTGCAGTATTCCGAGGACCGTGAGCAAGGACATCCTTACCTATGTGCTCCTGGGGAGAAAGACCCACAGACTGGAAACAGAGTGTCATGTCCCGAAACACCAGTGGGTCCCATGGGTGGCCTGTCTTGTCAAGAAGGGGTAGAGGGAAGGATGACGGCCAGCTCAAACCAGAGTCGGATAAGTCTCCTTCCTTCTCCAATGACGCCAAACGTCCACCCGCCATGAAAAGTGACATCGCTGACGGAGATGGCTGTGGTTGTCAACATTCTTATGTCACAGTGACCCCTCTACATGCCACCTAGGATTTTGGGATGTGTCACATAAGCCAATGATTTCCATGGTAGGCAGTTGTGTTAGACTGAAGGAGTTTTCAACCTAAGGTGAAGATTATACAAGACCTTAGCAGATAACTTCCTAAAACCTTGTAACTTGTCTTTACATGGGAATTTTTTTTCTTTCCCGAAGGTACAATAGGTTGTTTTCACCAACAATGAAAGCAAAGCCCAGAGTAGAATTACCTAGGTGTTGTTCTTGGAACTCAGCTCAGATCACAAGAGAACTGTCAACTACCTTTAATTCCATTTTCCAGGAAAGCTCAGTCCATGTTCGACCAGAGCTCATTAATTACAAGACAGCCAATCAGTGGAGGGGCCAATGTCACCAGGCAAGATGTGACTCCATCTGGGTCAACAACATGAAGAAATTCGTTATCAACGTGTAAACACAAGGAGTTCCAGGCAACAGGCCTTAGCATTCCAGCCTTTTGTTTGGCTGGGGCCAGGACATGGAGCTCACACTTCCAAACGGGCCAAAGCCCACTCTGACCCTTGCTTCTAACGAGTGCCCTGACATGTCAGGGAAGCTGAGCCACCTGGCTGAAACTAAAGACGCTGCTGGCAACCCCTAAAGGTGCCTGTGGCAGTGGCCTAGGCACAGACAGAAATATAACATCTTAGGAACGCACCTGGAAAACAGTGATGCCATGCTCACTGGGACAGCGTCCTGCTGGGAACTGCCCTGGGGTGGGAAACCTGAAGCTTCCTAGCCTGCCACAGTCACCCTTACCCGACAGCATTAACCGTAGGCGCCATTCTTCCGTCCCGGTATAGCTGCATCCCAGACCTCTGAAACCCACCAAGCCCTTTGCGTCAACACTTCCTCCCAGAAGGACCTGGAGGTTAGCCCTCCCCCCATGAGAGCCCATCAGACGTCCCTGGGCCTCCTCTGAGTCTCAGCCGTGCCCTGACCTTGGGGAGGAAGGACAGCGTGAAGGAGGCTGCCTGATTAACTTTCCACTTATGAGCCAAATTACTCTACTATTGGCACCTTCATTCTGCAATCGCTGACATAAAACCTTTTACAAAACAAAATGTAATAGATGAGAAATCGATTGGAATTTTTTGAAAGTTTGCCTCGAAGGCAGCTGTGCATGGAGGCGCCCTCTCAGAAGAACATCCTGTCTGTAGAAAGTGCCGGATCTCAGAACAAAGCTGTGAGGCCTGTGGAAACAAGGCCACGCCCGGGCAGGTGCAGAACCCTTTTCCTGGTTGTGGCCCACTGCACTGACCCATGAATACTATTTTTCCGTCTCCAGGGAGGGAAGTGACGTCCTCGTGTGCCTGGTAAAATGATGCCGAAAGCTCCTGTTAGGCCAATGAGGTGCTCCCCGCTGTGACACACACTCTCCAGATCAGCACAGCCGTCTAGCGCGTCTTCTTCGGCCAGTCACTCAAATGTCACCGTCCAGTGAAGCCTTCTCCAGTGGGGTCACAGCAGCAACCGGCTTCCCAGCCCCCTCTCCTCACTGTCTGCCCCGCACTCCTGCAGACCATGCTCTTGTCTGCCCCTCCCCAAATGCCTTGCCAGATGCCTCCCCCACAAGAGGGTCAGTTACGTAAGGACACAAGGCTTTCGGCACAAGACGGACCAGCAAAGAGCGGGCACTCGGCAAGTGGCGCGATGACGTAGGGCGTTTAGATCGGAAAGTCCAAATGGCACCACACACTAGGCACCTTTCCCACGATGGCAGACGGTGGGAAAGCCACTTTCTGGGGGAGCCGGGAGAGAAACGCAGGGAGCAGAATGACTGACTCACTTATATCAGTTACAAAGGCAGAAGCAGGACTCGGGGACCGTGATCCTATCTACACACCCTGAAACTCCAGAGATGGGGACCATGATCCTGTGTACACACCCAGAAACTCCAGAGATGAGGACCGTGATCCTGTCTACACACCCCGAGACTCCAGAGATGGGGACCATGATCCTGTCTACATACCCCGAGACTCCAGAGATGCGTGGAAAAACACCTCTTTCCAGCTGCTCATGACTCACCAGTGAGTCAGGTCACACGATCTGTTTGCTTACATGGGATCCTGCACTCAGAAGGGCCCCCACCTGAGCTCATATCCGACTGAAACTTTTAATGATTTTATGTCTGAGTTTGTGTTTTGGGAAGTCCAATGAGACAACAGTGCACGCATACGTGCAGAAGAGAGACTTTAACTAAAGAGGAATGACTCATGGTCTAGAATCTTAGCAGCCTGTTTCCATGTGTGTTTGTTTAAGACGAAGTCTCATGTAGCCCAGGCTGGACTCACTCTGTAGCCAAGGATGAACGTCTTGAACATCTGGTCCTCCTGCCTCTACCTCCTGGGTGCTGGGATTACAGGACTGCTTTGGGGGGTGCTGGGGAGAAACCAGGGCTTCCAGCACGCCCTGAAAGACCACAGCACACGGTTTTATGTTATAAACTTTGAAGTTAGCATACCATGTAGCAGGTCTCAACACAGCATCTCACACTGTGTGTTACTATACTGTGTTCTGGCTCCTCCTCCCTGTGGGGCCTTTACAATGAACAGCCTAGAAAGTGTCCGTGTCCTTTCAAAAGGCTGATGAGAACTGACCAGGGTAGAGAAGGACCCATTCTGTCTTAAGGGTCTCTTCTCCCAACTGATAGCGATGTGATAGCTTTATAGCTGGCACAGAAAACCCAGCAACACTCTGCCTCAATTAAATCTGAAATTAAAGTGAGTGATGGAAGCGGCGAGTTGCTTCGGGGGAAAGAAATTGCTTTATAAAAATAATTACCGGAAGCATTCATAAGAGAAGCTGGGAAACTGCTTTGTTATTCAGAAACAATTTGGGCTTCTGCCTGGGTCCTGGTTAGTGCTGGGTCCTCCATTCTCCCGCCAGCTCTCGTTTCCTTGGACACTGAGGTCCTCCATACAGCCATGACCCGTGCAGCACACAGTAGGTCAGTTTGAAAGTGGATCCTTGTCCTGCCAGCGGCATAAAACATTTCCCAAGCAGCCCGCCGTCACCCATCTGAGGTCAGTCTCCAGAGTGGCTACAAAGTTGGCATGCCACACTCTGGTTGTTCGTGTGTGTCCCCACAAGGGCAGCCTTTGGCTGAGTTTGATTCCGTAACCAGGCAAGTTCAGTAGCAACAGCGGTTATTTTTCAAACTGGTCAGTTGCATACTACTTCAGCAACTCAAAGGAATCTCCCTACCCTGTCCTTTCAGGAAGCAACCAATGATGCGCTACCCCCCCCCCCACACCCCTCCATAGCTTGCGGAAATGTCTCTTCTTTGACAGGCAGGAGGACTGAACGTCCGCATCTATAAGCCCAGAACATTTTGAGCACCTGAACAGTGGCTGCGTGGCGGTGTAGCCAAGCTAGAGTTACCGCACTCATTCCCCCAGGGACTCTCGGGTTACAGAGCTCATTCTGTGGAAGACGGAAAGTAAATAAAGCAGGATTCCTGTAAACACCGAGCCCAAGGAGAGAGCTATGAAGGGCAGTGTCTCAGAAGCACAAGCGGAATGTGGAACCCGGGGGCAGGCCAACAGCCAAGCCCCTTTGCGGGGGGGGGGGGGGGGGGGTCCAGCAGAGAAAGACAACTACCTGGAGGCTCCCGAGATGCTCAGAGCGTGTCCCTACTCAGCACCCCAATCCTAGGGTTTCCTTGCAGGAAGTGCCAGCCGTGTGTAGTCAACCATTCTCGACGGCTCGTTCCCATGGTCCCTGGGCAAGGCATTGCCTATCTAGTCTTCTTGTTTGGTTTCCCCTGGGAGCACCCCTGTCTCTTAGACACAGCCTCCACCCTAATTCAAAGGTCAGGTTTCGCTTGCTCTGTACAACATCCGCCCACCAGGTACCCTTTGTCCAGCTCTTGGCACCATCCACCATCACTCTCCGAAAGTGAGTTCAACTCTCACAGGTGTACAAAGCGCAACAGACTCCGCACAATGCCCGACAGTGTCCGCGTGGACGCTGCTAACAGCATCAAACCGTAGAGAGCCTCAGAATCACCGACCAACTGAGAGACGAGTCCTGGTTTCTGCAGCTACAGGGTCATCTACCTACCCTGTGTCCACACCGCGTCTTATTTAACCCTTCCTCTCCCGGTTTTCTGTCTCCTGCTATTTCAGATGAGGCTCCAGTGAGTGGCGTTGCGTGTGCATCAGTTTGCCCCTCCCCCGCTCTGCCTGTAACATCAATTTCCTATAAAAACAGGATAATGGGGTCCTGCTCAGTGTATAAAAGCGCTTGCGTCGCAAGTCTGAAAACCTGACTTCTAGTCCCACAAGCCATGTAGGAGACTGACTCCCGTGTATGCACACCGTAACATATACGTCCCTGCACATGTGTGCGCACAAGCGCCTGCACACACGTGCACACATGCACAATAATAACAATGAAGATTAGAGAAAAACATGAGATGACTAGGTCAAAGTGCAGATACACTGGTAGTTCTTGATAAATCACATTCTGCAGACATTGTTATGCAAAAATCTCATTTTGAAAATCTAAAATATGAACAAAAAAGTATGTTTGGAGATGGTGGGGGCAAGCCTGAGAAGCAGAAATAACTGGGTTCTGCCCATTTCCCTTCTGTAAATACAGTATTTCATTAACTCCTTTAAAAAATTCATAGTGCATATAATATATTTTGATCATATTCATTCACCACCCGTGCCCCTAACTCCTCTCAGATCCGTGGCCCTGGTTCCCTCTAATGACACATCTTTTTTTAATAACCCACCACATCCAATTTGGGACGACAATACATGGGTGTGGAACCATCCACAGTCCTACAGTCAGCCTTAAAGAAAGTTGACTCAGTATCCCTCTTCCACCCACCGCCCTTCAGCAGTGGGGGCCTGGTCCACGAGTCCCTCCCCATCCAACAGGAGGCTCTTTCAAGTCGCGTTTTCTTCCTACACAAGTACTACCCGTGGCCAAGCGGTTCTGAGGAAAAGTAAAATAATCGTGCGTGCAGCATTTGACTTCTTGACAACCTCGCTAATGTGAGCAATCCCCTCATTGGGAAGGCTTCCAGGACTCCATCCTCAGCTGACTCTGCCTGTTTACCAGGGGCCCTGTGTCTCCCCTCTCTCTGCTCCCATTCAGTTACCGGGAGGTGTTCCCGCCCCCCCCCCATCCTCCGGAACCTGTTCCCGCCGTTACTCTATTTCTATTCTATCCCAGTGGAGAATCCCGTCCCTTCTCAAATGTCCGTCTCAGAAAGAAGGCAGACTAGTTTAACTGACCCCAGTGCCCTCACCCCTCAGGGCCACCTCCTCAGCCAGCCCTCCAGTGGTCTTCTAGAACACAAACCCAGCCTTGTTTCTCTCGTGGTGAAAGTGGCTTGTTTGCCCTCTGCCTTCTGTGGCCGAGTGTCTAAGTGAATAGCAGACCACCATACAAACCACAGCCTTCTCGAAGGCACACCTCGGGCCCTCTCCTGGCCTCTGGCCACAGCAAATGTCTGCCTTCCCCTGGGAGGCTGGCTCTCCAGAGGCCTTCTCCTGGCACCAGGAACTTTCCTATATGCCTCTCATTCGCTTACTTACTTGGCAAGTTCTTAACATGTACAATTTATTATTTAACCAGAAGGGATATTCTGGATATCCCTAACCTTAGACATCCTCAAAAATTCCCTTGATGTGATGAGCCTCACAGGACCAATCCCCACCTCTGGTACAGTTCTTTGAGGGCAGGGTTTCTTTTTTTTTTTTTTAAGCTTTTATCGATTCTTCGTAAATTTCACATCACGCATCCTGATCTCGAACTCATCTCCCTGCCCCTCCCTTCCACTTCTGTTTTTTCCAACCCCCCCACAAAAAATTCAAAAGTAAAAACAACAACAACAACAACAACAAAAATAAGTAAATAAATCTCCCCGTGGAAGCTGCCGTGCGGCCAGCAAATCACACAGTAGGGATGCTTCAGTCCGTACATCTTCACTCGTGAGCGCTCATTGCAGTGAGTCAATGGTCTAGTTCAGGCTGCTGGCTTCTGTCACGCTATTGATGCCGGGCCTCACTGGGAATCGTCTTGGGTGTCCTGTTGCCGTCCTGTGTCATGGAGATCCTACAGTCTTGGATTGGCAGGTCCGGCCCCCTTCACATGCTCCAGCAGCTTTGATAGATGAGTTGGATGTTGGGTTGGGCTACCTTCTAGTCCTGGTGGTAGCGGGGTTGCTCAGCCTGACGGCCTTCTCTCATCCTCAATACCTGGGCGAGCTCTCCAGCACAGGGCGGAGGTTTTTAACCTTGACAAGAGTCACACTTTGAGTCCATTTGTTATTAGGGCGGAGGGCCATCCTTTGGCCTCCAGGATGTGTGGCGGCACCTGAGGATTTTACCGGTTGCCTACAGTCCCACAATAGTGTCAGCCCCCTGTCCCCAAAGGTTTCAAATATTCCCAGATGTCCTCTGGGTTTACGTGACTCCAGGTTGAGAATCAGGGCATCAGTTACTCTCATCACTCTGTAATCGACACAATGCCACTACTAGACCAGACAGCACTGCTCTGTAGACCATCCAGATGACCTGCAGGGAGTGCGTGTGCGTGGCTGCCCTTGCTGTATGAAGGACAGCAGCCGACGCCCAGCCCGTGTTGATGGAGAAGGTGCTTGCCAGATCATTGGTCACACAGGGTCTGAGCATGTGTGTCGATCTTCACCCATCAATATAACACACCCATGGCCACAGCGTCATAGGGGACCGTTGCCGGATAAGCTCATGACCTGTCACAAACATCTGGTTTCTATAGGAACCACAGATCTACAAATAGAATGGAGACACTGGTACTGACATTGTGAACCTCTTATTCCCTCAAAGGTGGCAATAATGCCTGCCAATTAACTCAAAATACATGTCTTCTGATTTGTGTTCTTTGATAACAGGTGAGATGGTTTCAGCTGTGGTTTGTCCTTTTCATGATGTCCCTTATTCTACTCACCAAGAAACCTACTGGGAGTCCACCACCCACGCAATTATATGAACTAGAACCTGAGATATAATTACACGGTAGGGTTAGAGGGCTCAGGGGACTTGGGGGTAAAACTTCATTTATAGCATGGCATCCTAACGCTGACTACATAATGAGAGAGATTTACGAGTTCTTATCCTGGGGTGTCAGGACCAGCTCCCGTGCTAATGTCGCATCTTCAGAACCATTGGCTAGTCTCCGTTCTCCATTATCAGTTGCTTCATAAAATGGATGTAATTCCCACCGAGAGCTTAGAAGAATACATGGGTGTGGAAATGGAAGGATTCTTCTTACCCCAGACTAGAACTCCCTTGAGAACTAGTTTAAGTCAGAATCTTCCTTTCCAGTGACTGAAGTTAACTATCCTTCAGCTTCTTGCTTCTTTCTTAATTACTAAATGGCTTTGATGACCCCTTGGGCATCTGTGCAGCTGTCCCCTTTCTGGGAGCACAGGGAGCTGCAGTTGGTGCTGTCATTCTTGGAGGACTAAAGCACCAGGCTGAGGTGCTTCTGGTAAGGGTCACTTGAAGGATCTTCCTTCTGGGGGTTAAGGGCTGACAGCAAGCCTATGACTCTGGACTCTCTTCTTGTCCTTTGACAAGAAAGTCCATGATGCTGTTTGTCACCACTAACCTCACATGCAAGAAAAAGGCCATAGTCCCACTTTGATGACCTCATGAAGAAGGGGTCTTCAGCTCAATAAACACAGGCAGTAAATTATCAGCTCTCAGATATCAAAGTTATTCTGACTTTCCCAGCCTCTTGAGCCTTAATCTCTCCTTCTAAACTATGCCACACACCCTCCATCACCTCCCATATCAACTGCAGACCACTGTCCTATCTAGATGTCAAAGAGGCATCCTAAAAACAAAAATCACTAAGATGGACTCCAGGTGACCGTGACATCCTACACCCCCAGTATCCACTCCTACCTGCTTCCCGCTGATACACATTGCCCAGTCCTCTGTCACAAGTGGTTTTTCTCTTGAAGAAGGAATTTGATTTCCTTCTGGAAGCTGTGCTCAAACCGGATTCCAGTTATTATTGGGGAAACATGGAGGAAGGCACTGCACAAAGCCTAGATACCAGCATCACTTTGGACATAAGTGAGACCACCATGCAGGACGTCAGTAAGGTTGTTTTGGTCCAGTCAAAAGGAAGATGAAACCTGAAAACCCATGTGCAACCTCCCACGGCCTTTTCAAATCCACATCCTTGGATATGCCTAATAAGAAAGTTACATGGTAGCTATAACGCTTACAAACCCTTATTGGAGTAATCGGACCCAAGATTAACCATAGGTTCTCCAGGAATTACATGTGCTTAGCCAATAAAATTAGTACAGAAAACCAGTTGAGTCAAATGATAAATTCTATCCAAGTGGGCACATTCTTACAGCTCACGACTGCTATTCTGTCCTCTGGAGTTTTGCTCTCGTTAGCCAGCCGATTGGGCACATTCTCCATTTCTATTTTTTGCCAAAAGATCCAAGGCTCATTTTCAGTGTCTTTTAACCTCCCACTGCTTGACTGACAGACACGCCTGTCTGCAGGGCAGCTCTGAGTGTGTGCTCAGGGCAGGAGTCAGTCTGCATGTCTAAAACTATGACTTGAGACAAACACAGACAGAGGGAGAAAGGTCATCCTTATCCATGAGAGAGCTCACTGTGAGCCATGTTGGGGAGACTTGGGATTAATTTATTTGTGCAATGTACCAGCTCTGATTGCGTTAAAATGACATCCGGGGCTGGCAAGAT